GGGTTATGGGTTGGGAAAGATGAAAGAAATAGAACATGGAAAAGTAGATGTGGCGGTGGGTTGAATAAGTTGGGAGGAAACGGCTCATACCTCCCTAAACAGAAATAAAACATAAGTAAGGTCTTGTTTGATATTAGGTTGATTGGGTCCGGTCAACAATTTTGGGCTGACTCGGTCCGGTCAGCCTGTTTGCTAAACTCATAAAATGGATGACTCTGTCAGCTGTGACCGACCCACTCGGTCCAATGAATGAAAGGAGATGACTCAATAAAAAAAGTCGTTGACCGAAATAAAACCCATCTTTACCCTTCTCTTTCTCATTCTCCTTTACTTATTCCTTCTCTGCCTACCTCCAACATCTGCGACATCATCTATGTCCCTCCTCCCTCTTCCTCCCGACGAATTCGTCGTCACTTTCCAGCGCTGCCTCCCTGAGCTCTGTCGCCTTCCAATTGAGAGTTGTTCTGATTTTGACCCTAATCGTTATCGCCTCCATCGTCCCTGGTGTACTCAAGGAATTTGTTCATCATATAGATGGCAAAGCTCTTCACATCTAACATTAATTGGTTTGTTTCTGGTTATAAATGTAAAACTTTAATCATTCATGAGAAATGGTTGCAGGTTAGCACTTTCCAGGAATCTGCTCATCAGATTGACAAATGATGATCTTAAACTATGTGTTTCAAGCAAAACGTTCATCCCTTTAGGGAATGTGGGACAAGGACTATGAATTGGAGCTTTAAAATCCAAATTAGAAAGCATACGTTAATGAGAGGTGTTTTAAAGAGAGAAGAAAACAAGATTGAAGTTGATCTGTTGAAGCTCAGTGAATTCAATTTTTGATTTCTTGATATGAATTTGGTTTTCGATTTTGATTAAATTTTGCTTTATTGTGTTTTTTTTGTAATTGCAGGTGGAAGTGTTGGTCTAAAATTGTTCAATTCCTTTGTTAGATTATGGTTTTATGGATATATATTAACATTTTTTTGAGTTTCCTCTAGTTACCCATGTATCCTTTTTTTATTCAAAATTGTGTTGGTTCCTTTGTTAGATTATAATTTATGGACATAAATTTGGAAAATACCGTGCAATGCAAAGACCCATATCATAACAATTTATTTTTATAATCCTATATGTTTGTGTGAATACTTTTTCTTTGTCTTTGTTGGTCTCATAGAGTGTATATATTATACCAACCATACATCCAATAATATCTACAACATATATCAATCCAACATTAAAATGCAAACAAATCCATTAATGTGAATCATTGAAAAATGTGAAATAAAAGGAAAAAGATAGAAACATTACCCGTCAAAAGTGTATTGTTGTTGACCTTTTCTTCATGAGTCTCGTCAGGTGTGAAGAAGAAAACATTTTGAGGGATTTCATGGGGTATAGTTGCGAGTTTGCGTACAAAAGTCATGTTATTAAATAAGATACGATATTCGTTTGGCACAACCTTATATTCAACACTTTATTTTGCGACTGCAAAGCTCCTAATAGCATACACCTCCTTTTCTTCCAAAAGGGGCTTGTATTTCTTAATATGGTTCTTCCTAATGAAAAAGTGAATTGATTCACTCTAACAATGTAGACAAACAAAAATCCAAAAGTAATTTATTTTGCATCATAATTATGCATCGACACAAACTAAAAAATATAAACATAAACATAAATATACCTTATCATCAACAATGACCATCTTCAAACCCATTATCTCGTTATCATTTTTATGATTGACTGATTCTCACATCCTACACAATCGCACTTTTATAACCCAATCATTTTTCGATGGATTAAGGTCACTTATGTTTGCATATGCCATCGATGAAACTTGCTAGTACAAATGTAGTTTTTTTATGTAAGTGAAGTTCTATATTTATATTAACCACATCTGAATTGTTTTCTAGAATTTTATGTTTTCCACTAACAACACATCAATTATAATGTAATTGAGATAATAAATATTATTTTTGACATTTAATTGTTGTATAGCATTTGACGCCATTAATAGTTTTAATACCAATTAAGCTTTCTACTAATGAGTTACTCATGAGCTACAATTATTTTTAACATGGAGTAACTAAAGAGCCAAATAATAGTTTTTTGTTGTCTTATGAGTATTTAAATAGTTATTTAATATTCTTAACTAACAATAGGAGGTTACAATATTGATATACCCACTATGTACAAATGTTTTTTTATGTTATAGTTAAAATAATAACTTTTACCAAATTATTATTTAATATTTCTACTTTGAAACAAAATGTTAGTAGTAAAGCAAACATATAGTTAACATATTAGTTTTATTAAACATTATAGTTTTAATTTTTAAGTTATTGTGATATATACAATTATTTGATAATTTTATAAACCGTTTAAAGTTGTGTAAATTATATATCAAACGAATGATAATATAACGGGTAACAAAATGTATGAACAAAAATATGAACTACAACTGTTAGTAACAAAAAAATAGAAAAACATCTATTATAACATTTGTATTAAAAAGATATATATACAACGAATAATAAAAAATATGAAAAATAAACACTACAACTTTTAATAACATAAAAACACTAAAACATCTATTATAACATTTATATTAACTCTTCATATTTAAATCACAAATCTCTTCAAATACATTAATGTTTTTAATGGCCAAAACTTTACAACCTTATAAAAGAAAGGAAAATAAAAAGTTATTAGTGATTACTAATTAATAATCATAA